GCCCAATACATTCCATAGAAAGTCTTACGGTTTTCACGATAAGCGTAAAATTTATGCTGCGTCATGTCATAACTCCAAAACCGCTGGACGTTCTTTCATCAGACTTCATGCTACAGGTTTGCAAAAGTTTGCCGAAAAATCTCAAAATTTTATAAAGATCGGCGCAATAGAAATAATCTAAATAAGGATTTATGGGCCACGTCGTTGATGACAAACACGAGTACTATATCAGGCGAAAATGCTTATCATTCAATTCAGAATATTTTATATTCCTCTCTGCTTTACGATGAACTAAAATATGAATATATATATATATATAGATATATATATATATATATATATATATACACACACACACTTGTTCTTTTGAATAAAAGTGAAACTTGGTCTGTCAGTCTGAGGAAAGGTTAGATGTTGAAAGTTTCTTAAAATAATATTTAGATTCAGAATAAATTATGCAACGAGCTGAAGAAAATTACATAAATGGGGAGCTTACAAATATGTACTCCTCGCTTAGTGTTATTACGTTGACTGATTTATTTCCTTAAAGAAGGATGAGATGGGTGTGAAATGTAGTAAAAATTTGGATAAGAAATGTATGCAATTTTTTTTAAAATAGTCAAGGAAATTTAAATTTTCTTCAGATTAGGAGAAAGTTAAGGAGTAATATGGAAATAGGTCATGTGAACGTTTTTGTAAAGACGTGAACTTGATTAAAATTTGGTGAGTTATCATAAGTTAATTACACGATTTTATAAAATGATGGATTCAAATTGTTATACTTGTAACTGTCCAAGTTCTTGTATCCTAAGATTAACGGTGTTAAAGATATTAAATTTCCAGTCGTTCATAATGAATATACTGGTGACTGTTTGAAGGTACTTTTCAATTACATCCTGTGAACCTGTTCAGGATGGCTTTTCGACGTCAGTCAACAGCAAACTACAGTAAACAGATTGCCACTTCGCGAGAGTAAGCGGAAGGTTAACATTTTCTCCACAGTGACGCCTCATTTCATAAATAAATTAATAAACTCGACGTTCCATTGAATCCGTCTGATGACACTGTAGCATGTTACGAAATATAATTCAAGCACAAACTGTTCTGTTTGGGCGAGACTATTCAAAACTTGCATCCTACGCTAGCTTCGTAGTCCACTGTGACGGCACAAGAAATGTTAAATAATAATTTATGTTGCCATGGAATCAAATGCTTTCACTGAAATAAGTAATGAAATTTAAATTACGAGGAGAATTCCAGATTAATATAGTTCACAATTTATTTAACGACACTTTCTCGTCTGCGTACGTTATAGAGATATAAATTTGAAGACGATGAAAGTGGTTAATCCAGTAACCAGCATTCATGTGGAATACCCTAATTAAGATTAATAGAAACTTGCGACACAAATAAGAGACAGGAGTACCAACTACTTCACTGCGGAATTTCTGGCTTCTTTGTAAAAAAAATAATGTTGCCTTTTTTTGCTCCGAAGATCCTTCCAGTTTTCAAAACGTTTAGCGGCAAGATGCATGTGTCAGTACATTACACATCGTAGCAAAAATCGTAATATGCCATAGAAATTAAAGTTAAGAGGGGTGACAAAAATCCGTAGCCGGCGGTCCCATGTCGTAGATTTACGGCATGTAATAGAAGCTTACGAACATGATACGAGATGTCCCGATTCACTGCTAGATGGCTCTGGTAGTCAAATCAGGATTGAGTAGAAATTGTGCAGAGGCAGTGGGCTGGTCATTCACTACTCATAAATGCACACTTCAAAGAACGATAAACTTCCGAGAAAGGGGGAGATCATGACCCGAAAAGGGCCGAAGCTCCGTAGATGATGAATTAATGTTTAAGTAATGAAATACCACGAGGATATTAACATGTGGATTCCTTCGCCTAAAGGAGAAGAACTTCAACAGAGGACTTTTAACACGTGTGTTGTATGACCGTCTGTGGGAGGTATTTCATATCGAGTTTAATGAAGTAGGTATTGTATGCCAGATTACAATGTATTTTGGGTTAAATACGTCGGACGTGCCATGGCTCTGCTGTCGTCTTAGAATGATATCGACAATATCTAAGTATAGTGTTCATGCTGGTTCCTTGAAAACTACGTAATTATACCGGATCTCATCGTCTGACGGGCACAACATTCACGGGCTAAACCTGATAATTACATCACGATAAATGGCTTACGACAAATACAAATTAGACAATTTCAACTATAGAGTTTCACTCCATGTAAAGAGAAAAAAACAGTACGATAGATTTACGTAATACTAATTAGCGACAAGAAGTTATATGGCTAAAGGTTTTAACTGAAAACTTAGCATTCTTCCCGTTTTTAAATTGCTAAGATAAAATATGGTCCCGCGCCGTAGCCGCGCGGTCTGAGGCATCATGCTTCGGACCGACGATACGGAATGCGCGCTGGTTCGAGTCTCGGGGAGAAGAAATTTTCTCATGAGCTTTCGACCAGTGTATGGGACCGGTGCCAACCCAGCATCGTGAGGAAATTGGGGAGCTACAATGAGTAGCGTAATCCGATCAGGAAAGCTAGCAATGGCCGGGGGTTTGTCGTGCTGACCACACGTCACCCTATATCTGGTTGTATGATCGTTCATCCCTGCTTAGGCATGTGAACGTGAGGCCAGCAGTCACGCTAGTTGGCTTTGGCTCTCTGGAGCTGTTACGCCACGGATTTATTTTATTTATTTTAAGATAAAATATGAAGGCCTCTACACTTATCACTCATGAGCAATAAACATATTTTACTTTTACACTGTCGTCTGTACTAAATATGTATAGCAAACATAGTCCAGGTTAGTGTTGTAAAGCAACGAACGCTCAGATTGTGAGACGCGATCTTGGCTTACGATGTTACGAACACGAATATAATCATAAATATCGTAAAGTATTTAAAAACTGTACTTCGAATGCACGTACAAACAACGACGAGCTTGCCAGACAGTATTGAAAGACCTGAATGCATTAGCTGCACTGGTATAAAGCCTTTTTTTTTGTTGAAGGCCCAAGCGCGTAAAATGTTAGGTAGCCATAATGCGTGCTTTTACGTTTACATTCCTTTTTTTTATTACAATCCGGTATCAAAGTAAACCATAAACCCCGAGATTTCAAACAACAGAAGCAAGGGTTGTTTCATTAAAAGCAAAAGAATGAGTCATGGAACAGTAAAGACAGTGCAAGCACACAGTGATGTTTAAAAATCCAATAGTTTCACGAAAATATTCTCATACAAACTCACAATTGTCTCTGTGAACTACCTCATTAAAGCAAACGAGATGGTATCAACGTGTCCCTCATAAAGTAACGCTGTAATCTCTAAATATATGTGCCCGGCAGCACTATACGTACATTGTCGGGTTATGACCGCTGACTTGTCTGTAACTCTTGAAAAAAAACAGGTTAATAATACAACCGCACCAAAAATTTTGCAACAAAACAGAAATGTGGTAATTTGTGGGTTCTAATAATTTTGGTGTCACCAAGTGAGCCACATTAGATACCAAAGGTTCTGAATTGCATATATCAAATGCTAGAATGGTAGACACTAAGTTTGTTGGAGATTTTCGACGATGTAGCTTTTGTTATCATTGATGTCAAAGGCGTGGAGGTACTGTACAAATGATCAGGTTTCATTTTCTGAAAGGAATATTTGGAACAATTTTTCACCGACACACATTTCCTACAGAAATGAACCAGGGGGTTATTTCCGCGGGAGTTAATGTTGCCGGAGGTTAACTCTCATCTATCTTGCCCCCTTAATTCACATGTCTTCGCCAAAATCAGCATTTACACAGTTCAAAAACAACTTTGTCAACCGTCAATGAATAGAAGTCATTTTACTAAAATATCTGCACGGAGAAATGTAAATAAACGTAATCTTTTGTACGACTTGAGTGACAACTGGTGGAGTACTACAAACTCCACTTCACAAAATACCGTACGACACGCGTCTGTGATGCGCTCCGTTCTTTGTTGACCTTGACGTCACTATATCAAATATTCTCAAAAAAACTAAGTACGATAAATATTAATACTGCATCCCTTACGAAATCGCATAAAATATTCAATTGCGATGTTTTTATTGTATTACTAAATTGTTAAATATTCACAGTTATAAAAGAAAACTCCTTCATGTATTAAGACAATGTATTGTTTGTCAAATACAACTTTTGTATTTTGAAATACACAATTTGATGTTCCAAAATTATGAGTTACAGGTTTCAGCACTTTTTATGCCATCATCAGAGCCCTGCTTGTAAACGACGTACGTCAGGACATGCTTATTGGAACGTCTATTCACATTTACGTGGACCAACAAATTTGAAGTATTAAAAGGAATGTACAACAAAGTGTAAGCAAGGTTAAAATTACATATTAAAACAACAACTTTTACGTAAGTGGTCTTAATGATTCTTTATTATGTTGCCTTTTTCTTACTATCCGTACTGAGGTGGTGGATCAGGTTTACTGTTTCGCAAAAGCCACTTGTTACACAGACAAGGAGCACGTAATAGCCATGTTGTAATACTGTGTTACTACGACTGGTGCGGCAGTCTCAATCCAGGAACAATGAAATGTGTTTTTCCTTGAAAGTGTAGTTTCCATATAAAGGTGACATGTGAGGTTCTCACGGAGTCGAGTGTGAAGTTTACTCACTTCTGCGATACTCTACCGTGTAATCGCGTAAAAGATTACTGACGTTCCAGATATACTTCCTGTCTGTATCATCTACGGACGACGTTAAATTTCGGGCATCTCTCTCGATGTTACATATTTTAACTCTAATTACCCATAAGATTGTCGACAATAATATTAGCACATAAATATTAGTGTGTACACATCCGTTAGCTTCATGGTGCAATAACGTGATAAATATATAATAGATGCACATATTATATTCAAAAATTCAGGTCTTCTGCGAATGGCTCTTTCAAAAATGGTTTCCAAGACGCTGAGGTACTCACAGTGAACGTTGAGACGCCATCTGTCCTCTAAGGCACTATCGCTGATTTCCGGGTTCTCGGCCCGACACGTCAGGTACTTCCCGTCGTCATCGATGACTGGAACGAAGCTCAGGACACTAACGCTCAGATTCCCTTCCTCTGAGTGCTGCAAACAAACCAAAAACATCCAAGCCCATTTTATTTTTTTTGCAGATGCGATGTACGATTTGATTATAAAACCAACTAGAAAGGAATACAGTGTGATTTACGTGTCACTGGCTTCGGAGAATCATTGTTGTTTTTGACGTAACTCAGCTTGAAACTTTTATGCTCTTATCCTAAAATTAGTATTGACTGAAACAATAGGTTTATGAGGTGGCCACCTAGGGTCCACATGCGGAATTTCTCGGAAAGGAAATGCATCTTACATGCGGGGATCGCCTGTAGTGACAAAATTATGAGTGAAGCCCTACAACCATTTGTGGAAGACAATGTTGCAAATACGTAAGACGAAAATCGACAACAAAGTCCGCGATCTTCAAAAGAGGATCTCCGGTGGTAAGTGTAATTAATTACTTCTTAAGTGAAACACTGCTTGTCCATCGTGCCAAACGACACCATAACTTGGGTTTCATACTGACGAAAAAATTTAGTTTATTAAAACATGTATATAAATATATTATTCGTCATTTCGTTTGCATGAAATGAATAATTAAGTATGAGGTATATATTATTTTCTCTTAAGTATAAATTCAGATGCTATATTTAAATTACTATTCAATGAAGACAGACCTGGTCATGTTTATCATTTTTATGACAAAAACAAACACATGTTAAGTTATATGATGTGAAGCTTTCACGGCGGCTTTCATTAATAAAGTCTTCTCGGGCTATCTGCCATTTTAGTTGGTGGTCAATCGCCGACGTTTCGAGAACCATCTCTGTCCTCATTTTCAAGGCTAGTTCGTGCTACGAGCCACACAGTCAACAGCCTCCTTGTACATGTTAAGTTTATTTCAAATGTGGACTACTGTGTGAGAGCGTACGAAACTATATTCGTATTAACAAAACAAAACCTAGGCTCAAATTTGAGTATAACACGTTAATTTTCACTCGATTTTCTCAATAAATTAACCTCGCTGAACTATGGTAGTGTGCTGACTTATAGAATTACTTCTCCAATATGAAATATAATTTCGTCCTCGTTTCTTCATCATCTGGGACATTCCATATCACAAGGAAAGAAAATAAACATAAAAATCTCATATAAAATGCTCCTTTATACTTTTCATTACTGTCTATATGAGAAGAGGTTTGTTTTGTTCCTTGTCACACCGCATATATATTGTTATTTATGTTTGTCTGCTGACAATCCATTTAACGATACTATAGAAAACGTAATATAAAAATAACTCATCTTGCTTATCTCGTCCTCCTTTTTAAAATTAAATCCACCTTCTTGTCTTAGAATGAAACAAGCAAGAAATATTTCATATATTTACTGCAAAGGAAATACGCTCACAACCTCTAAAAGCACAGAGATCGCCTAAATATCATCAATGTTTCGTTCCTGCCTCCCACAATATACACTGCTTCTTTTAGACCCGTTGATGTTCTAGGAAAATCGCGTTTATTTTGATAACAAAATAATTGTATCAAATACCACAACTATGTGCGAAATATCGAGTTATGGAATGTCAGAACACATAGCATTTATATTTACCAACAATCTTTAAAACGTTAATTCTATACTTATTTTGATACATATTTGTAAGCAAACCGATAAAGGAATTACATTTTAAATTTGTACGTCGTTTTAGTATCTGCGTTTTCGGTTTTGATACGGAAGCTTATTCAATTTTAAATATCGTTCCCATCGAAGACTCAAAGAATGAACACTTGTCATTAAAGCGCATGTATTTTGTCGCCAATTTGTGGGTGCAACTGAAGTGTTGATTACTTCAAGCTTGAAGACCAAATGAACGTATCTTCGGTGTGAAGAATCATTTACCTGACCGGATTTATTAATTTCCTGCTCTGCTGTTTAATATTTAACAGGATACATACTGTATCAATTATCGTCTCAAAATATCGGTGAAATGTTTTCTCCGGTGAACGTATTTATGGTCACTATATTAGAATATACATTCGGTTGTGAAAATGTCAGGTATTAATATTAGAAAATGTAGACATTTCTTTCACAGTCCCGCTCAGGAAAGAGAAAAAACTAAAATCCTAATGTTTTTAAGTGAGACACAACAGATGCTCCATTCTCACGACGGCAACACAAGAACAATCCAAATTATTCGTACAACGAATGTGTATTTTGCATTCTTTGCTTTTTCTTGAAATATGTTGATATTGGATAAAGGATTTTCCAACATGGCTTACTCTTCTTGGTGGAAATGCATTTCTTTGCATCCAGCAGGAAGTGACTTAAAATAACAAGGAAATATTTTCTTTGGTTGCGTAAAAAAACAGACACCACATGACAAGTATTAACGGATAAGCTGCCCGTGTGCCTTAAAAAACTTTTCGTTCTGCTAACGGAGAGAAGCATAAGATGCGTCCTAAGTAACTATACCATCGAAACAAATTACCGGACAATTTAAGAAGCATACTTTCATGTCAGCCATCGCGTTAGAAAGAAGAATTGTAATCAGGCTGTGATAATCTGTTTAATACCTAGGACTAATTTTTTAATATCGTATACTAAACACAATATTATAATTTTTCCACATTCTGTCAAAATGACTTACAATTGTGAAAGAAACAGCTCACCTGTATTCCCAAGACGGGGTACAATTTATTTTCCTAAAATTATTTTACACTTCATAATGAGCTGCCATTTTCAGAGTGAATATGTTGGTTGGAGACTTCTTAAAGCCTAATATAACAGGCTGTATTCGGCCAGTGATTTTTTTCGTACAAGAAAAAAATAATATATGTTAAAAAATGGGATAACTTTCAGAATTCGACGCGGCTCATCTCCGAAATATGAAATTTTACATCGAACTCTAACCATGAAACCCCAAGGACAAGAATAGAGAATGACTCAAAACCATGTATATACACATCCAATGAATAAAATAAACACAATTTAATAAACTAATTACATGCGTGAGCATTGGAACTTAGCGAATTGGCAAATCTATTGTAGGTGCTAAAAATAATCACTCATAGCTTCGTGGCACAGATGACAGCGATAAGAAACTGACTGACAAGCACCCACCAAAGTTGCTGGTCTGTATACATATTTTTGGAACATACTGTAATCTCTTCAGAATTTTGTTACATTATCATAAAACCACGTACCTCCATTTATAAGATCTTAGATCGAATTTTTATAAGTTTTACAGGTGCCGAAACACACATGGGAAGTTCCAGAAAAGCTGAAAGTTCGGTGTTGAATTATCGCTGACATTTCGACAAACATCAAAAGGTTTACTAGGAATGGGCGAAAGCTGTCAATTGTTTGAGAGCAACAGTTCTCTCTACTTATCGCATCTGACACACAGCACCGTAAAAACAAGTGAAATGGAAAGTGTTTGGCCCTTGGGAGCAGGTTCTATATCAGCCTTTACTTAAGGAGAGACAACCACAACGCTTGTAGAGGAAAGCGAATCCTTAGCAGAGAAGACTACTAACTTCTTAAGTAATGAAAATAATTTGCGCCAATTCGATTTCGAAATGGATAATTTGAAATACAGATAAGGAATATCGATGTAGAACTGACAGCATAGCCCCGATATGTTGACTATACAGCTATGCATAACATAAATGGCAGACCCCGGTGTAATATCAGTTATTAACCAAACTTACAGGTTTTATATTTGTTCAAAACACTCCAGAAGTTAAAAGTATCGATGACTAAGAGACAGAATCATGAAAGTGAATGAGCCTCGTAAAGGTGGGCTAAATACATTTGTGAAATGCGACGTAATATTTTCTTTCTGCAGACAACTATATGTATGTCTGCCGGAGAATCCGCTATATAAATCTGAGCTTTCCTCGGTTTTATTCAGTCAGCACATCAGAATGTACGGATTCTTTCCAGAAACAGGTGACGGCCTTTTCCTTCCTTTTTTCCAATTCGCATTACACAGTAATTTTATTATCTCATTCTACACACGTCTTAAGGGTCAGCATCATCACTGCAAAAGAGATCAAGAACTATGTCACAAGTTGGAAAATGAACCTCCTCTACAACTTTACGATATGAAGATCCACATCCATCCGCAGGAATTCTTTAACATAACGCGATCCATTTATACACAGATTATTACGAAATGAACTATAACTCTATTGTAACCAGACACAGACAACATTTAACTGAACCCGAATACATTATTTTCTCATCCCTTTACTGTATAATGATGACTTTACTGCAATCACAGAAGAAAAAAGGAAGAGAAATCGTGGAACGAACAAAATGAGACAGAAAATAAGTGAACAAAGAAGAGGAAAGAGAAAGGATATGAAATGTAAAGTAACCTAGGCTCATGACGTTAGCGGGTTTCCCTTATTGTTACGATTTTCAACAAACCCTTTTTTGCACAAAAAATATAGTAGGAGATTCTAGTTTGGGGGTGCGGGAGAGGCGGACGAACAAAAGCTGCAGACCAGCTCTAGCTCACCAACTCTTTGAATTAACAAAAAGCTTGCTCATAATTCACCAACTCCTTCCCGCTCTCTCGCCAAACCTTTAGCTCCACAGTTTCGCCGAGCTACGTTATGTTAAGATTCTGGCCTACAGAAGGAAGCTACTAAGCAATGGAAGAAGTCTTTAAGCACAAAATAATACCTTCTACCCTACAGCAATTTGTCTACTGTAGTAATGCTAGTATAATACTAAGGAAAGGTAGGCACAAGTTTACTGAAACTAGATGCTTACACACCTTAACCCAAGGCGCTATCCTACCTCCACTTCTCTAATGAACACAGATACACTAAACTACACACATATAAGGAAAAGCCTGAAGGGGCCAGTAAAAAGACCACCGTAATTCCACAGTATAGTCAATTATATTGTCTCAACGTCCTTTATTATATATTCGTTCCATTTTTTATGTAGGCAATAAGTAACCAATAATTTCTTGGTGCAGGATAGTGCCTGTGCAGCCGACATACATTAATATATTCAGTAATTTATTTTATTTATAACAA